CCATATTCTTATTGGCCATTTTTATATCTTCTTTGGAGAACTGCCTACTCAAGTCCTCTGCCCACTTTTTAATCAGGTGATTTGGTTTTTGTTTTTGAGCTGTAGGAATTCTTTACATATGTTGATACTAACCTTTTATCAGATATCTAGCTTCCAAATATTTTCTCCCATTCATGTCTTTTCACTCTATTTATTGTTTCCTTTGCTGTGCATACATTTTTAAATTTGACATAGTACCACCTATTTCTACTTTTGTTGTTTATGCTTTTGGAGTCATAGTCAAGAAATCATTGCCAAATTCAATGTCATGAAGCTTTGCCCCATGTCATTTTCTAGGCGTTTTATAGTTTCGGGTCTTATGTTTAAGTGTTAAATCCATTTTGAGTTAACTTTTGTATATGGTATAAGGTAAGGATCCAGCTTCATTCGTTAGCATGTGGATATCCAGTTTTCCCAGCATCACTTGTTGAAGAGACGATCCCTTCTCTATTGTGTAGCCTTGGCACACTTGTTGAAGACTGACCATGTAAGTGAGGGTTTCTTCCTGGGCTCTCTAGCCTGGTCCATTGGTCTATGTATCTGTCTTTATGCCAAATGCACACTGTTTTGATTACTGTAGCTCTGTAAGATGCTTTGAAGTGAGGAAGTGAGGGGCCTCCAGCTTTGACTTTCTTCCTTAAGACAGTTATAGCTATCTGGGGGGCTTTAGGATTCCCCATGTGAATTTTGGATTTTTTTTTCTGTTTCTTCAAAAAATGCTATTAAGATTTTAATAGGGATTGCATTGAATCTGTAGACTGCTTTGGGTAGTATGATCATTTTAACAATATTAAGTCTTCCAATCCATGAACACAGGTTATCTTTAAATTATTTATACATATCTCCTTTCAGCAGTACTTTATAATTTTCAGTGTACTAGTCTTTTGCCTCCTTGGTTAAATTTATTCCTAAGTATTTTATTCTTTCCTGTGCCATTATAAATGGGATTAGTTCCTTTGTTTTCTTTTCAGATTGTTCACTGTTAGTGTAAAGAAATGCAACTGATTTTGATGTACTGATTTTTTATCCTGCAACCCTGCCAAATTTATTGGCTTTAACAAGGTTTTTGTTGTTCTTACTGTTTAATCTTTAGGGTTTTCTATACATGCAATCATGTCATCTGTGAACAGAGATCATCGGACTCCTTACTTTCCGATTTGGGTCTCCTGTTATCTTTTTGGCTTGCTTATTTGCTGCGGCTATGATGTCCTATACTATGTGGAATAAAAGTGGTGAGAGTGGGTAGCCTTAACTTGTTCCTAATCTTAGAGGAAAAGCTTTCAGATTTTTACTGCTGAGTATGATGGTAGCTGTGACCTTCAATACACTGAGGTAATTTCTATTCCTAGTTTGTTGAGTGTTTTCATCAGAAATGTATGTTAAATCTCATCAAAACCTTTTTCTGTATCCATGGAGATGACCATGTGGTTTTTTCTTCATCCATGTTGAAACCTTTTTAAGTCAAATTGACATTTGTTTCTTTAATAAGAATTATGATCTGAATATCCAACACAATCTTATTCTGTTACCCTGAGACTAGAACTATAGACTTTTAGAGCTGATAGGGACCTTAGAAGTCAACTAATTAAAATGAGACTCACAAAGATTAAATGACTTGACCAGTATCAAACTGAAGGCTTGATACTAAATCCTAATGGAAAATAGGTAATTTCTATATTGCTTTCCATGAACTTACACATAATTTATCCTACAGAAATTCTCTATCAACTATCTGAAAACATGTGGGGTGTGTATGTGTATATTAATCAAAGCACTGTAACAATGAAAAGAAATGGAAACAATCTAAGCTGCTGGATTTAGAGGATTGGTAGATAATGGTATGTCCAAAAATACTATGCAGCAACTTTTTAACAGTGATGTAAAACTATTCTTTCACTGACATGTTTGTAATTTACTAAGTGAAAAAAGTCACAAAACTGCACACAAGTTTGATTCCATTTTAAGAACTGTGTAAATACATATGCAACTTAAAAATCTAGGATATATACAAAAATATTAAGTGTTTTTATGAATAATGTTCTTAATTGATTTATATTCACCTGTATCTTCTCATTTCTTTACAAAAATAATATATATTCCTCATGTGATTTAATAAAAGATATAACACTAAATACTGTATTAAAATATGTGGATGCCTCACGAATGTCTTCAAAACAAACAACTTGACTTTGCAGACCATAGCTAGTTACTGAGGTATGGTTACTTGTCCTTGTATGTGAAAATGAATTCATGCTCAGAGATGGGCCTGTCTGTGCAACCAATAAAGTTTGTGAGTGGTAGTCCTCTTTGCTACATTTAGTCCTTGACTGTACCTTCCTTAACCAGTAGTCTTAGGTGCTTTCTCTAACATTTTTAGGATTAATCTAATATATCAGTCCCCATGCTTCTAACCAAACTTATTTGGGGTGCTCCAATCATGTGCACTAATGAAAGGGAACAATGAGCAATCTGTTTCAATTACTTGTGTCCATCACCAAAAACATCTCCCTTCCTAATAGATATGCTTGTGTCCAAAACAAAAACAAATATATAATCACTTAAAAATCTAAGTTCTTCCTCTTCCCTTCATGAACCATTGCAGTTCAGCCATGAGATGGGGCCATAGAAGGCAGACATCTGCTAAGGCAGGGGAGAGGAAAGCGCAGAGAGAGGAGCACGTCCGTATGAGAATAGTGTGTGTGTGTGTAGGCAGCGGGTGGCAAGGCTGGTTACCTACAGAGTGACCAAATAAGCAAATACATAAGGACAATGGGAGCCAATTTTTATTGTCAGATAATTATAAGTATTAAAAGGGAGAAAGCTAGAATGAATCCTATGGTGTTGGCTGAAACTGGAAATAACATTGTCAGGTCATGGTTTTTCAATTTAGACAGATAAACAGACAAGATAAATAGGTACAGATGTAAGTATGTATAGTCATATATATGTACACACACACATGCACGCACACGCATGCACATGCACACCCTCTAGCTCTGCTCACTAAGGCTCAGGATCAGCAACATCAGTGAGCAGATCTACACCAAGATCCTGGTTTCTAAACATCATTCTCCCCCTAAGAGGGTCCAGGGCTCCTTGGAGAAATGGCTGGTAACAGGGTGGGGCAAGTAAAGTACAAAATGAACCGGGGACGTTTTGCACCAACAAGTAAAGAAGCATTCAAGAATGATGGGACATGTCAGACAGACACAGGAGCCAGCTTGAAGGGGCTTCCTCTGGCAAACTGGGGATAACCTGACCATGGAAATAAGTAAGAACGGTAATGGATCCTCACCCAATGAATAGAACAGGAAGAATCCTTGAGTCCTCAGTGAGATTTAACACATGAAAAACACCCAAAGGTCTGATAACGAGTGGGAACAGGTAAGATCTCAAAATAGCTGCACACAAAATATTTCTGAATTACAAATGGGGAAGAGCTGAGTTAAATGGTGAAGAACTCTGGCAGACAGCAGCACCTTTATCAGGTGTTCGGTGGGCTGGGCAGGAGAGAGAGAACACAGCAGGAGTCAGACTATCCTTACGAAGGCCTGCTTGTAAGGACAGTTCTTAGTTACCACTGGGGAACCTGGACTTGTGGAGTGTTCCCACCATCCCCTAAATGACAGGATTGTCTCAATGTGCCTGAACTGCCTAAAGAAACCATACGGTCTGTGCTGAATACCTGCTTTCATCTGGGAGTCTGGAACTTTGGTTATGTGCTAGGCAGAGGTGGCTACATAACTAGCTCCCAATTAAAACCTTGAGTCTGTAATGAGCTTCCTGGCAGATGCCACTCCTCCCACGTGATCACATCAGATGCTGGAGGAATCCAGTGTGTCTTGTGTGACTCCACTGGGCTAGGACTCTGGGAAGCACCCCTGGCTCCCCCTTTGCTGACTGTGCTTTGTCACCATCCCCGTAACAAATCTTAGCTGTGAGGACGACCACGTATACTGAGTCCTGTGAGTCCTCCTAGTGACTCACCAAATCTGGGAGTGGTCTTGGGGACCCCTGACACATGAGACAAATCAAATCATGTACCACCTAAGAGGATACAATGAGAAGAACACACATCATTCCTGTGAGATTCTTGCCCAAAATAGCATGACCTGCCCCCAATCTTAACAAAACATGAGACAAACACAAAGAGGGACAGTCTATAATTAATCTGTAATTTTCAAGTGACAAGATTACTAAAGTCAAGAAAAGACTATGGAACTGTTCCAAATGTAAAAAGAGACATGAGTACTAAATGTAATATGTGATTCTGGACTGGTTTTTTTTTTTCTAAAAAAGGGCATTATCAGGACATCTGGTGATACTAAGATAAGTCTCCACAACAGTAACCTGACAGCATTACTGTCCTGATGTGGACGGATCTGGTGCACAGGAAAACCTCCTGCGGGCAGGACGGAGCTACAGAAGTGTCCGGGATGGCGGAACACCACATCAGAGCCTTACTTTCAAAATGCTTTAGGGCAAAAAAGCATTCATGCAACTTTTCTCTGAGTTTGAAAGCATTTCAAAATAAAAAGTAAAATGACAAAGATGATTATGATCTATTATTCCTTCATACCAAAACCCAGTCCTTATAATGATACACCAAGAGAGGGTACAAAATCCTATGTGGGAGCAGCAGAAACTAGCGCGGGGTGGGGAGAGCACTTTCTCCCTTATCCCGCCTCACCGAGGAGAAAGACCCCACAACCAGGAAAGCTGCAAAGCCAAGCGTTTTAACTGAACTGGCTTATAATTATTAAACGATCACTAAATGGAGAAAATTACCTGAGGGTACAGAATTGAACATTATTTGTCTAGCAATTACTTAATGAGCCTTAACTGCTGGTGATAAAATTTTACTCAGTGTCTATATTCACAGATCACTTTCAGCTGGAAAAGATCATCTACAACATCCAGTGCCAGAGAATCATTAAAAAATTTCAAAAACACAAAATTACCGCTTGTGTGCTTCCTGTTTGCTGCGACATTCTTCACAGTAATATTTGTATTCACTGCACAGCGTTTCTGTGTTGCTAAAACCCCTGTGTAGAATTCAGAAGAAATTAATTTTTGTCTATACCAGAAAATCATGTATTCCTATTCATTTAAAATATTCTAAACCAAAGCTGGTCATCAAATTTCAAAATAATAACTCTACGCTTACCTTAAGCAGTGAGTAATTGATGTGTTTTGTTCCACATCAACAGAAAGGTCTAAAAAATCTTCATCTTTGCTGCTTATCTGTAAAAATAAGGAAATTACCTTGATTTCTTTAAATATCAGTAAATTGCTGTTCCAAAGAGTATTAAATGCATTCTGTTAGTAGTAAGCATACGAAGAATTCTTTTTCTACAAATTCAGAAGTATACTACTTAGTTTGGATTATCCCAAAGGACAATGAATAAGTCACTCTCCTTACATGTACAGTTAAACCCCCAAGTATACTTGTGACTCATTCTCTTACTGGCAAAAATTAGAATGGTGTCAAATTCCAGTACTTTCCACAATCCTGGTGTTACTGTAAAGCGTGACAAACAATACACACTAATTCTTAAAAAACATAAGCCAAGACTGAATCAGAATGCTTGGCAAAGGACATAATACCTGTATTTATCATTTAAGAAAATAATTTAGCCCAAAATGCCAAATTATAATCATTTAAGACCTTTTATTTCTCAACAAAAAAAAATCTAACATAAAGTTCTATTTGGCTTATGAGTAAATCATCTTATAAAAAACACTTATTCATTTGAATTGGGTTAGGACAGAATGTCAGACATCAATTCCCCTAGCTATTTCCTTGGATGAGTCTATAGCCACGGTGAGTATGCAACAGGAGGTAGTCTGACTCGGTTCCCCTGTGCCTCTTACCCTGACCACACACCCAGTTGAGTAAATGCTCTTCTGTTTCAATATATCAATGTTATAAGCTCAGTGTCACTGACTCGTGATAGCTGTGGCAACACGATGAACTTATGCAGCTCTGAGTAAGCAGCAGTACTGTGAGTACAAGGCACGGCGACACTACAAGGGAAGGGATCTGGGTCTCAGAAGCTTCAGTGAAAAGGACGGGCAGGAGAAGGACAGGAAGGAGAGAGGAAAGAGAACATGATGTGCTTAAGGAAAAATATTTAGCCCAGCTTTATAGGAAAGAGAGTAGGGTGACAAGAGAGAGTGTGCTCGGGCTCAGATGAGGCAGGGACGTATGTGTAGGCTAAAGAGAGAAAAAGATGGAAGAGGCTGGTGTTTCTCGAAAGGTTTGTGGTTATCAGACACTGCCTTAGTTGTCTTCATTTTAAATGTTCATCTTTGTGACTTAAAAAATTTGGTACGAGGATGTTCTGGATCATCTGGATATATCTGAGCTACTTACATGTGTGTTTACAGTTGTGCTGATGCCAGGTGATCACCAGGTGAGGCAGTATTTAACTTTTTAAAGTGTAAATATCTGGTTGTGGCTGGACAGCTATGTCCAAATGTCACACCCAGTTTTGGAGAGACACAAGTCTAAAACTCAGTGAAGAACGTCAGGCTGGAGATACCAACTGGGGATACCCTTAATTCCTGGGAGGCCACAAGGAGACCTAGTGAGGACAGTGGCAGGACCACTATCCATTTGTTACAAATCAGATTCCTAATATTTGAGCACCAAACAAAGATGGCTGGCACTTTCCCTTTCAAAAACATTTCACCCTTACTCCCCATCATCCCCAGTCTATAAAATAAACTTCAAAAGCCTTAGCATGGCATCCCAAAGACCTGCACACAGGGCCCCAAATCTACCTTGCTAGCTTCACCTACTGCTTCACTGCACAACATGCTAAGCAAATTCAACTATTTTGTTTGATTGAAGAAGGCCGAATTGTACATATCTTTTAACAGAGACCAAATTCCATTGTACCAAAATTCAAGTAACTGACAAATTCTCTGATTACACCTACTATTCCAACTGAAATCCTGCTCTAATAATTGGGTAATACACTTCCTAAAGTTTGGAAATCAGTTACCATAATATTTCTCTTTATAAGATACATCTATAAAGCTCATGTTAAAGTACTTTGAGCTGGTTAGACTGAATAAAGGTGAGTGCTGAACCCAATTCCCAAAATCAAACATCGCCCAATAAATTAAATGCCTATTCCTACAATTAACTGGTGGTTGCACAGCAAATTAACAGAGCAAAGACATCCTCACTCTAACCCAGAAGTATCTTCATAGGCTGTTAATGGATTTAAGCACTAAGTCACACTTCTTTCACTTGGTCTAAGAGGCTCACCAAAAAAATGTAATTAGAAAAGGGAATTTTATTTATTTACTAGTACTGTGTCCTCCATTAATTAAAATTACATTACTAACAATGATTGTTCTGCAAATGCCTCATTATTGTTTTAAAAAAATCAACATATAATCAACAGCCAAAAGACTGCTCATTGGTGTGGGTCAGAGTTTCTCTTTAAAGATCGTATCTTTTTATTCATGGCTGAAGCAAAAAGATGACCATTTGCTTTAAAAAAGGAAGGAACAGAAGAGATGGCCCACAAACAGACCCACACAAATATAGTTAACTTATCTCTGACAAAGGAGCAAAGATAATTCAATGAAGAAATGATGGTCTTTTCAACAAAAGGTGCTGGGACAAGTGGGCATTCACATGTCCAAAAAAAAAAGGCATCTGCCATCTAGACATAGGTCTTACACCCTTCACAAAAACTGACTGAAAATGGGAGTACAGTCCCTCTATACAAAATGCAAAACTAAAATTCCTAGAAGAGTAACACAGGAGAATGGAACATTGATGACCTTCAATTTGGTGAAACTTTTTAGATACAATACCAAAGGCATTTAAAAAATACCATATGTGGTTCCATGAAAGGACAAAATTGGACTTTATTAAAATTAAAATCTTTAAGTTAAAACATTAAAACCTCTGATCTGTCAAAGACACTGTTAAGAGAGTGAGAAGACAAGCCATAAACTGGGAGAAAATATTTGCATAAGACATATCTGATAAAGGACCAGCATCCAAAACAAAGAACTCTTAAAACTTAGCAGTAAGAAAGCAAACAACCTTGATTTTTAAAATGGGCAAAATACCAGCAGACACTTCACCAAAGAAGATACACAGGTGACAAATAAAGATATGAAGAAGTGCTCCACATCACATGCTATCAGGGCACTGCAAACAAAAATGAGATACAACTACATATATATTAAAATGGCTAAAATGCAAACACTGACACCACCAAATACTGATGAGGATATGAAGCAATAGGAACACACATTCATTGCCTGCAGAAATGCAAATGGTACAGCCACTTTGGAAGACAATTAGGCAGTTCCTTACAAAACTAAACATACTCTTACAAACGGTCCAGCAATTGAGTTCCTTAGTACTAAACAAAAAGAACTGAAAATGCATGTTTTCATAAACACATGAATGTTTATAGCAGCATTATTCATAATTATCAAAACTTGGAAGCAATCAAGATGCCCTTCAATAGGTAAATGGAAAAGCTGTGTAATGGAAAAACTGTGTATGTTCATACAGTAGAATATATATAATTCAGCAATAAAAAGAAATGAGCTATCAAGCTTCAAAAAGACAAACATTTTACTACAAAGGCAATAAAATGATCAGTGGCTGCTATGGATTTGGGGAGAAAGGAGAGTTGAATACATAAAGCATGGAGGATTTTCAGGGCAGTGAAACTACTCTGTACGATACTGTAATGATACACATGTCATCATATATTTGTCAAAACACAGAACAGACAACACAGTACAGTTTGTAAATTATGGATTTGGGTTAATAATAATGTGTCAACATTGGCCCATCAGTTGCAACCAATGTTACCTCACTAATCCAATATGTTAACAGAGGAAAGTGGAGGAGAGGAAGTATTTGGGAACTCTGTATTTTCCACTTGATTTTTCTGAAGTCTGTTAATTTAAAAAAACCAGTTTAAGTCAGTTTCTTAATAGTCTCTGCCACTGTAGGTTTAATGGACTTAATCAACAAGTAGACAATGTTATTCTTCCAAAGATCATAAAACATTTGTCTTTTTTTTTGCTTGTGGGCTCTTTTCCACTGGACCACGCTGCTCTCCTGTGTCACTAGGCAGTAATAACAGCGCCGCAGTGAAGGCTGCACAGGTAAAAATCACCAGTGCATTCTAACTCCTGGGGAAGATTCTGATGAGGACCAAGATATCTGCGTCTCTCCACAGACTGCCTACTAGTGACATGGGCGTAAAAGCCAGTCATTGTAAAGTGGAGAAACTGAACAACACACTGAATGGGGGGTGGAAATTAATTCCACCAGGAAGGGCAGATGGATACTGTGCGCCTGGAGGGGATATCCTGAGAGGACCAATACATTAACTATGAATTATTCCAGCCAAGAATGCACAACCTGCATCTAATTAGAAAGAAACATCAGACAAAATCAGTTGACATATTCTTAAAAAAAGCAAATATCATAAAAGACAAAAAAGACGAAGGAAATGTTCCAGGTTGAAGAAAGCTAAAGAAAACATGATACTATACAGTGCAAACCACTAAACTCTGAACCGGATTTGTACTAAAGGGGAGGAAATGCTACGAAAGACATTACTGGCTCAACTGACAAAACTGGATAATAGATTCTGATTAAGTAAAATTCGATCTTTCATTCCTCAAGTGAGAAATTAGTAACAAGGTTTCACACTGTAACAGGAGCACTGGGTTATCTGGTCCTACTCGTAACACTGCTGTCACTTCTCAAGCTTCTTCCCTGCTGCCCATCTTTACGGTACCCAGCAAGTGGGTATTTGCCCCTTCTTGAATATATACAGTATGCTTTAGCTTTTATTCCAACCATAAAAAATAAACATAATTGTAGGAAAAGAACAAAAAAATAAACATACCTCCCTGACCTATGTTTCATATGAGCTTAACTAAGACATAGACTTTCTAGAACATGGCTCTACAGCCTCCTATGTTCAAATGAAATCAAATAGTTCAAACTGCAGTAAGTATTTTTCTGTCACATCAGGTAATCACTGTTAATAACCAGCATTTTGAAAAAGTATAGGTAGATTCCTTTCAACTGACAAGTACACCTTTAACATTCATTTATACTATACTTAAGAATTTAAGAATTACAACATTCATCGCTCATCCTCATTCTCTAAGAACATACAATGAATTAAATTTGTTCTATGCAAAATTTTTTGATATACTTACAGTTTCACAAGTAAGACATCTGGTTTCATTAGTTAATGTTCCCTGAAAAATCTCATGAACCCATGTCGGGTCTGGAGTGCCATTGTTATTCTCACTGTCAATGTTGCCATTGGGTAGACGGCCATTTTGCTTTTCCTGCTTTCTCTCTTCTTGTAAAATATCAGCAATTGTATTTAGTAGATAATTTAAGAATTCATGGGCATCTTGCTGCATGTAGTTGTCAAAAAGCTCTAAAAATTAAAACATACACTTATTTCAGAATAACTTCATTAAAAAACTGAATTAAAAAAGAATATCTAGCAAACAAGATCCCTGATTCAAAAACAAATATGCACCCCCCTATGTTTATCACAGCACTATTTACAATAGCCAAGATATGGAAGCAAACCAAGTGTCCATCAGTAGATGAATGGATAAAGATGTGGTACATATACACAATGGAATACTATTCAGCCATAAGAAAACAAATCCTACCATGTGCAACAACATGGATGGAGCTAGAGGGTATTATGCTCAGTGAAATAAACCAGGTGGAGAAAAACAAGTACCAAATGATTTCACTCATCTGTGGAGTATAATAACAAAGCAAAACTGAAGGAACAAAACAGCAGCAGACTCAGACTCCAAGAAGGGACTAGTGGTTACCAAAGGGGAGGGGTTGGGGAAGGTGGGTGGGGAGGGAGGGAGAAGGAAATTAAGGGGCATTACGATTAGCACACCTAATATAAGTATGTCACAGGGAAGGCAGTACAGCACAGAGAAGACAAATAGTGACTCTGTGGCATCTTACTACACTGATGGACAGTGACTGCAAAGGGGTGGGGTGGGGGACTTGATAATATGGGTGATTGCTGAAACCACAATGTTGTTCATGTGAAACCCTGAAAGAGTGTATATCAATGAAGCCTTAAGATTAAAAAAAAAGAGTATCTAGCATTCTATCAGCTCTAAGTACAAATGTTTGGTATTGTTAGTAATATACAAGCAATAGATATTTTACATGTAAAAATTATGACTGAATTGGGGAAAATAAAGTTAAGATGAATGAGAATCTTTTTCTTAAAAAAAAACAATACTGATCTACAAGCAAAGGACAAAACATTCTTATACATTTACATAATACACTGAGGAGATAAGAAAACTACTGTTTATTACCACATCTAATCTATTAGTATTTCACAAATAGTACAACATGGCAAGCTTTAAAGCAGAAGGTGGACAATCTCTTGCCCATGCCAACCCAAATGCATAAAAATGACACAGGAAGTTTGTTAAAACTATGAATTGGTGAACCATTTATCCTAGAAATTCTGATACAATAAGTCAGAGATGAGTCCTGGAACCTGGGCCTCCTCAAAGCTCCTCCAGGTGACGCTGACATGCAATTTAGGAAATAATGCTATCATGAATTATCTATTTAATCCAGATAATCTCTAATGCCTCCTCCAAATGCAAGATTCTGTAACTCCATGAGATGTTCCTGGTGGCTACACAAATGAGTACATATGATGGAAATACTGACAGTCACCCACAGGAAGCACGTTCCCCTGGGCTTGGCATTGCAGGACCCGGAGACAGAGGCAGCATCTTCCTTGAGATTCACAGGCCCTGTGACACTGTTATTAATACTACTTTACAGATGAGACAATGGGATCAGAGAGGGTAAAGTGGAGCTGTCAGGAAACCGCAGGGCCAGGATTCAAGCCAGGAGGCCTGACTCCACCAGGCTGTACACAGGGTTGCGTGCCAGCGTCACCCAGCTACACAAGGGCACCTATGGCTTGGTCAAGAGAAGGCAGAGAAAATTACCTAGTTAGGAAATTTTACCATTAGATTCTTGATGTACATTTTTAAAAATTCAGAATGATTATAGTTTATATTCTCAAATGAAATAATATAAATTTAGAAGAAAATTTAGGAAGCCTTTCTAAGATAAATGAAATAAAAAATTACATTGTAGAAGAGCTACATATATGACTACATAAAATTAAGTTCTTTGCTTTAGAAATCATTTAAAAAGTTAAAAAGAAATATGAAGCCTAAATATTATTAACATCTTCAATACATAAAGAGTTTATACAAAAGAAAAAATACAAAGTGGACAAAGGACTTGAAACAATTTATTTTAAAAAATTCAAAAGAAATCTGAGAAAATGTTCAACCCCAGGGTAATAATCAAAAGGGTCTTGATATTCCTGCCCGTAAAACAGAATGCCATCTTCCTTTACAAGGTTATTGTTAAAATAAAACGGGAACAAGTGAAAATATTCATTGGGGTGCAATATTTAATCTTAGTGTAAAAAAATCCTTTGAAAGTATCACATTTAAGGTATAGCTGGAAAAGTAAGACTGTTTGGATACCTCTAATTATATGTATGTCATAGGCAATTTACCTAACCTCTGATGGACCTCCAACCAAACACAGTAAGACTAAGAATACAACTGTAGGCATAGTTCATTTCTCCACTCTAAGTTTGTCCTAAGGGATTTGGTTAGCCTTAAACTCCCTCTGTTATTTTTAAGAACATAAAAAAAAAAGCCCTGAGTGCTACCAGCTACTGCATTAGCTTCTGTGAGTTTAACATCTAACTGATCTTTAACTGAGTGTACTGTGTCCAACTGGGTCCATGAGGGTTTTGCCCACGAGGAACAGTAGTTCCAAAGCACTGCGGCATCACTTCCCGGTGGGCAGTGTGGCAGAGGGCCCCACAGTACCCCATGGTGACAGCTGGCACCTCCACAAAATCTCCTGCCCACCACTCCATCTCCAAGACCAAGCCAGGCTGTACTTGACCCCCGGACGGCCCCATCACTGGGCTGGCCTGGGCCAAAGCTGAGACCAGTGAAGTCACTCACCTTCCTCACAGTACTCCCCCACCCCTGAAAACTAATCCACCCCACCCCGTCTCCTGTCCTCCACGGCCCTCATTTCCTTACTGTGCCTCATGTCCTTCCCCATCCTTGGGATGTCCTTCTATCCCAACCCTTTCTGCTGTTCCTTCTGTTCTAAACTCCCTATCTTCACCCTCTGGCATGTTCCAGCTGCTGCCACTTCTAAACCATCACACTGCCACTGACATATAAAAACTCACCCTCCATCAAACAAGCTCTTTAGATTTGGCCATTTTACCCTTGACCCTCCTCTTCTTGCATCATCTGCCAACTGCCCTCCAACCAGTGATGGCCTGTCCACCCCAACTCCTGCACTAACCTCGACACCATCAGGGTCTAGGCAGCCTCCTTAGGTGTACGTGAGCCCCTTACAAACTAAGAGCTTTCCTCTCTCTCACCCACCCACCCAGGTCACCAATCCAGAACCACCCATGTCAGGAGGACCTAACCTAAGGACTAGAAGGAAATTATGCTACTTCAAAGAAAATGGAAACAAACTGAAAAAGTCATGGAGCAATCTAAAAAAGGATACTAGGAGAAGATCAGTAAAAATATTTTATAAATACTACTAGCTAAGGTTGTATCTACATGCTGATTCAATACCACAATATAAACTAGTCTCATTTTTCCCTGTTAAAAAAATTATTTTAGCATGTTTTTCAAAATAATTTTTTTATAAAGCAAAAATGTGCAAATGTTGTTTTTTAAAAGCTTGAAACATCTTTTTTTGGATATTCTTTTAACACAAAATAATGACTTCATATCCACAGAAATACTTCAACTGACTTGAATAATGAAATGCAAAGTAAACCAGAAAATACTCTTTAAGTATTCTATTGAAATATTTAAAATATTTTATGGCCCATTTTCTATAAATACAGACTAGTAAATATGCAGAATTCTGCAGTGCCTAATGCAGCCACTATACTTTTAAAAATATCAACCAGGATCACATGAACATCAAAACAACATCACCTAAAAGACCCCAGGGCAATGCCTGTAAGCTGTATTACATTTAATTTCTAAAATCTTGGTTTTCTTAGTTTGCTTTCTTCTCTGCTTCTACAGAGAAGAAGCGTAGTTGGAAAGCTAGGCTTCAAATTTGCTTTGGCAAATTAAACAAATTCAGTCATTCATTCACTCATTCAACAAATATTTAGTAAGCACCTACTATGTGCCAGGAACTGGATTATATGCTGGGAATACAATGGTGAGCAAAAACAAATGGGTTCCCTCCGTCATAGAACTGACAGTCTAGTGGGAGAGACAGATAATTTCATTATTAAATAAGAATATAGGAAATGTATAAATTACTAAAGTCCTAATACAGCTCCAACATTATTGAGAAAAAAAAAGAAAAAGAAAACTAAATCTGCTTAAAAATAAGTTATACTTTCTTCATAATTCAGAAACAGCTATAGCTTTCATTACACAAAATAGCTTTCATGCTCTTTTGGAAGAAAGGGGTTGAAATGAATAAGGGAAAATACTCAAATCTATTTAAAAGGGGTTATTTGTGATATTTCCTCACTCAAGGAACACCAATACTTAAATATATATAATTATATATTAATATTTAAATCTCTCCACAGCACCTGAGACAGTGCTGTGTGTACACAGGACCCTTTCCCTTTCGCACTGCTGCATTTCCAGCACTTAGAATAGCGCCTGCCACATATTAGATGTGTGGCATTTTTTGAATGAATGACTGAATGAATGAATGAACAGGGTTGAAATAGCTAAGATGACATGGGATGAATAAATTTGGCCCCAAACAATTTGAACTGTATACACTGCTAAGATTCTGTGAGTTGGAGGCACAGCTACAGATGCCAGCCCATCTGACTCTCAAGCCCACCTTAAATGATCACAGGCTCTCCAGTGGAGTCAACTCTAGCTAACAGAATTAGATCACCAATCTTTGTTTCAATTTTTCTAAAATAATGGGGAACCTGAAGGAAGTGAGTAATTTTAAATAGATGACTTCCATTCTTACCTAGAATAATTACCGCACTGGCTCTTGGCCCATCTCCCTGCTTCCCATGCCACCCAGCAGCAGAGATCCTCTCCTAACGCAGGTCAGAACGTATCACCCATCTGCTCAGAGCCCTCCCAGGGCTTCCCATGGCTGTCCAAAAAGAGCCCAAGCTCTAAGATGCTGCCTTGCTCTATATCATCATCTCACGCCATTCCAGTCACACAGTTCCCTTGCCTGTCCTTCAAGCACTCTGGAAACTGCAGTTTCTGTCCTATCTGCTTGGAACAATTTTGCATCAGATCTTTAAATGGCTTGATTCTAACTTCAAATCTCTGGTCTAATGTCACTCATCAAATCCTTCATTCCTTACCCCCTTTCCCTGCTGTATTTTTCTTCACAGCAATGACACGTTATACTACATAATTGCTGATCTTCCCCATTAGAACGTCAGTTCCCTGAAAACATAGGCTTTATGTTATTTCTGTATCTCTTGTTCCTGTACAGTACTCAGCACACAGCAGTAACTAAACACATAATAATTAATCCAAACACTCCACTAGTTTCTCATCATCAAACATACCATATTCACAGAGCAGGTGTTACGTACTGTATGCAGGAGCACTGTGCTACAGTACTCTTAGCTATGATTAGGTGGCATGAATTAAAATTTTAAAAACAAAAATGTATTATTGAAATTAAAATAGATTATTTTCAAGGTATATCAAAATAATTAGTAATATAAAACACTGATTAAAATAATATGCAGTTAAAATCTGTTGAAAATACAGAACATGAAGCTTTCAATGTAACACGAAGGAAACCGATTTAAGAATAGCCCAAAAGTGAGACTTGGTGAAATACTGAAATTAGTAATATACTTTCCAAAGATTTCAAAAAACCAATAAACAAAATCTCAGATGTATTAGAGAATTATGTAATGGATGAACTACTGAAGAGTTATGCAATGGATAACCTATTAAATCCTCTTTGATTTATATGTTCTTCTCAATGTAATTATTGGGAGAAAAATCAAAAGGAAAAAATATATTTCAAAACATACTTGCAAAAACCAACATCAAATAATAAACATGCTTTTCTATTAAATATTCTTTCTCAAGTACAGAAAAATGAAACAAAACTTAAGAGAAGACAGGTTTGGAACACTCATTCTGAAATCAGTCTCATTCAACTAAGTATTTAAATAGTCTATTATACATCAATGCACTCTGCCTATGCAGACAAAAAGAATCAGAAAATATTGAACTATAAAAAAATAATAAACTGTAAAAATATCCCAGGTTTGATAAGCAAACATATAAAGCCACACATATTTAACCACACAGAACTTTCAAATCACAGTAACGTGCACTCTGTTTTCAGCATGAAGAGTCAATCATGACACACCTACACATTACATTGCAAACTGCAGGGCTGTGCTTCCCCATCCCCACATTCACATGCTGAAAACTTAATCCCCAGTGTGCTGCTATTTGGGGAGGGGATGCCTGGGAGGTCATTTAGGTCCTGAGGGCTGACACTAGTGCCCTTATTATTGAAATTAAAATAGATTATTTTCAAGGTATATCAAAATAATTAGTAATATAAAACACTGATTAAAATAATATGCAGTTAAAATCTGTTGAAAATACAGAACATGAAGCTTTCAATGTAACACGAAGGAAACCGATTTAAGAATAGCCCAAAAGTGAGACTTGGTGAAATACTGAAATTAGTAATATACTTTCCAAAGATTTCAAAAAACCAATAAACAAAATCTCAGATGTATTAGAGAATTATGTAATGGATGAACTACTGAAGAGTTATGCAATGGATAACCTATTAAATCCTCTTTGATTTATATGTTCTTCTCAATGTAATTATTGGGAGAAAAATCAAAAGGAAAAAATATATTTCAAAACATACTTGCAAAAACCAACATCAAATAATAAACATGCTTTTCTATTAAATATTCTTTCTCAAGTACAGAAAAATGAAACAAAACTTAAGAGAAGACAGGTTTGGAACACTCATTCTGAAATCAGTCTCATTCAACTAAGTATTTAAATAGTCTATTATACATCAATGCACTCTGCCTATGCAGACAAAAAGAATCAGAAAATATTGAACTATAAAAAAATAATAAACTGTAAAAATATCCCAGGTTTGATAAGCAAACATATAAAGCCACACATATTTAACCACACAGAACTTTCAAATCACAGTAACGTGCACTCTGTTTTCAGCATGAAGAGTCAATCATGACACAACTACACATTACATTGCAAACTGCAGGGCTGTGCTTCCCCATCCCCACATTCACATGCTGAAAACTTAATCCCCAGTGTGCTGCTATTTGGGGAGGGGATGCCTGGGAGGTCATTTAGGTCCTGAGGGCTGACACTAGTGCCCTTGTAAGAAAAGGCATTAGAGACTTTGCTGCTCTCTCTTCACTGTGTGAAAACACGGCGAGAAGGCGGCAGGCTGCAAACCGGAAAAGGGCCCGCAGCAGACTCTGCACTGTTGGCGCCCTGGCCTTCCAGCCTCCAAAACTGTGAGAAATAAATGTTCTATTGTTGAAGTCATCTCGTCTGTGGTGATTGTGTTATTGCAGCCCAAACTACGACACAGCACATGCAAAATACTAAACAAAAAGGTCAAGAAAAGTATTGTATTAAATAAAAAGAAAAGGTATGTTTTGTGTGGGTTTCATGTTTCTGATGTGAATGTTTCTAAAACACTAATGAAATAACTGAGAAGAGATGGCCTATTCGATTATCATGTACATGAATTCTCAACCAGGACAAAACTTTTAAAGTTTCATACTAATACAGGCAACAGACTGAGAAGAATTGAATCACTCAGTCCACATTCTAACAGAGCCGTATTTAGCTTTCTTAAAAACAGAAGATATTACACAGCTCTGTAATTTAAGACAGTAAATATGTTTAGCTTTCACCAGGGAAATACAAAAAAACTTCATTTTTGTGAGCAATTAACCAACTGCTCCATATTTGTACTTGGAATAAATGAACAAAATCCTTAACATATTTATCAGATTCAGGAATAACAGCCTACGGCCAACTTACTTCAGTATCTTCTTGTGTTTTTGGAAACTAGACATGACCCAGGTTTATCTCCATTCATGTGACAATGTTCACTGTCAACCAAGTTAAAGACAAGATTACCCATTGGGGTATTTAATAACCAAACCCAAAAACTTCTTGAGTCATACTTCTGGGGAACCCTACTATTTGACGGATAACACATCAAACCAAAAATATGGCTCAATTTTCTTTCTACAATAATTGCAATGCCTACATCAAATAAAACCCAGAATTCTACTTGTTACTTAAATCCCATTTGCCTTTTTTGAGGCTGCATACCGTATTGGATAGAACACTGGGCTACGTGTCAGGGAGCAGCACGGGACCCTGACAAGTTACCTTCACTTCTCTGAGCACCAGTCATCTCACGTAAAACAAGGTAACACAGACTTATGGGCTTGCTGTGAAAATGAAATGACAATTTAAGACAGAAAAAGGAAGTGGGACTTAGTAAGTGCTTAAAAAGCGGGGTGGAGTTAAACTACATGAGCTAAGACAGAAAGTTTGATTCACTGTTCTGGCTCTTTCCTGCCCCTGGGATGTGACTCCTAGCAAGTCTTCGAGCTGCCAGAATTTTATTACTTAATGGCTAAAGTGGGGGAAATAACATGGTCTCTACATCATGTTATATTGTAAGTATCAAATGAGCTAATGTACGTGAAAACATTGTAAAAACAACAAATGAACAATAATGTGGGGAAACAATCAAACAAACCAAAAAACACTGCATTCTCCATAGGAAAGTTGAGCAGGCAAAAAAGAGCAATTATGGTTTCTCATTTCCTTCTATACAGAATTTGATCTCTGTTTAACATACATCAAACACCACATCCCACATGAGAGACTATTTTCCTTACTAAACCAGCACTTCCTTAAAGACAGGAACATCACCTATGGCTTTCCAACAGCTTGCATATTTCAGGCATAAAGAAGATGCTCAGGCACTGCTTGCTGGCTGTGGTGTGCTATATTTAACCTTCCTGTGATGTAAGCAATACATTAAGTAGTAGAAGAATTACCATTTTCTTTCCGTAATCTCGTAATGAACTTCTTAGGAGGTATTACTCCAACCTTTTTCTTCTGAGTGGCTATGCTATGGAAGAGGTCTGCTAAGCATGTAAGAAGGTTCTCCTTCTTCCTAGGTTGACTCTTGTACGCTAGAACTTTTTCCCGAAATGGACGACAAAAATAAAGTGCTTGAAGAACTGAATTACAGTAGCAGGTATTCCCAAACTAGAACAGAAAAAAAAAAACTTTGTTAAATTTGGGGCAACACAGTTTCAAGAGAAGAATTTCCACATGTAGAGTTGAGAGAACAGAAAGAGAAGGTAGGGAATTTATATCCTCACAGATTAAAAGGTATCTAAAAGCAGTAATAATAAATTCTGACTACAAATTAGCCATTTTAACATTAAACAGATGCTCTAGGGCAGTTTCAGGTTAAAACTGAAGGCAACTAGGAGGAGAAAGACAAATGCTAAATGATTTCCCTCATTTGTGGAGTATAACAACAAAGCAAAACTGAAGGAACAAAATGGCAGCTGACTCACAGACTCCAAGAAGGGACCAGTGGTTACCAAAGGGGAGGGGTGGGGAGGGCAGGAGAAGGGGACTGAGGGGCATTGTGTTTAGTACACATGGTGTGGGGGATCACGGGGAGAACAGTGTAACACAGAGAAGGCAAACAGTGAATCTGTGGCATCTTGCTGCACTGATGGGCAGTGCCTGCATTGGGGTATTGGGTGGGGACTTGATAATATGCGTAAATGTAGTAACCACATTGTTTTTTCATGTGAAATCTTCGTAAGAGTGTATATCAATCATGCCTTAATAAAAAAAGAAAGAAAAAAAACTGAAGGCAACTATGCGATATGTTTTGCCTTTATAAAAACTGATTTAAAGAATTTGTAATTTAAACAGTGAGGGACGTTAAGGTTTAGGGTTCTGGATACTTGTTTCTTTTCTTTCTCAGTTCCCATTGTTATTATAACATGAGTTGTGTACTATATATTGTATATTTAAAATTATAATTCAAAAAATATTTTTAAGAAATAGGAAACTGAGGTTTTCTTGTCAGGTTCTTAAAATAAACAAAAACAAAGCAAAACAAGCAAGGAAAAATGAGATCTTGTGGAATGTTAGATTAAAAACAACCAGTGTGACAGCCTAGCAATCCCGGAAATGTTGACATGCCAGGTCACATCACTTGTTCTCTCAGAAAGACATAGCTGTCAGCTCCAGAGCTAAATCCTGAACTGTGAGTCTCTCTCTTAATGACTAGGTGATCTGGGGTATGCAACCACTGCTTACTAAACTTCAATATCCTCCTTTTTAATAATGGGGAAAAATACTCCTATTTACAGAGAAAATGACACAGTTTGATAAGTATTTATTGTTTTCCGTTTCCCTTCTCATTAACAGACACTGGCTCTCAAAGCTGGCTGATAAACTACCAAAATCAGTCAGTGAGGATTGGGGAAATACTTTGAAACGGTGGGGGAAGAAAAATGAGGACATTTCTCATAGGACTGCTATGGGGTGAGATCAAATATATATTAACTTGAAATGCCAAGTACAGAAGAGTGTGTAAGAAGGGGCAGTTATCAAATGTATGTCCACAGATACACGCATTTGCTTTTTTAAAAAACTAGTAAGGATAAATTAGAAGTTAATAAAAATGGTTACACAAAGAGAAAGAGGGCAAGACTGGAGAGGAGTGAATGGAAGTGAGATTCCTGTGCATGTATTGTTATAAAAAGTTTTACTTTGTACTCATTTTTTTAAAAACTAAGTTAAAAAAGAGGAAAAAAAATCCTGAAGTTGAAAATATGAAACTTAAATGTAAATCAAGCTGACTGGTAGAGCTATACAGAGAAGAGAATTACATCAAGTGACTTCAAAACACAGAATTTTTACTATACATGCCTACTGAAATACAGTCTAAGAATAGAAAGAACAAAGAAATCACAGCACTCAGTAGTCACACTGTTAGAATTTATCTGTTGATACTGTTATTTTGAAACTACTGTAGTTACGTTACAGGACAAAGGAAGCAAGGAATTATGTTAATACTCTTAAGAACCAAATGTAAAGGAAAAAAGACACAGTAATAAAAATCCAAAGAGTAAAAGCCCTGTAAACTGAAATTGGAATTAGAAATATCCATGTAAAGCCATGCCTTATTGCAAATCTTAGAGAGACTCTGTGTGTGTGTGTTCAAGTTCTGTCCACTGAAAAGGCCGAGCAGCAATGTTGTCCCTGCATACAGACTGTGGTCTCAAAAAACCTTTTCCCAACAAGAAATGGGATGCCTTACAGATAATGGCTATACAATGTTTGGGGCAGGAAACATACAAATGTACAAGATTAGCCTGGAATATTTTTCTGTGTGCATTCAAGCGCCAACTTTGACCAAGAAGTACTGTAACAGATAAAAAGCACATAAACTACATAAAAATAGATGAAAAAATAATTGTTATTTTAAAAAAAGAAACTTTCCTTAGTCTCCAACATGAGTTATAAATTAATATATACAAAGAAAGCATCAAAGTTTTATCTTGCCTTTTCTATAAGAACCATTACTTCATGTATTTCAAGGGGTGCACTAAATAGTTCATGAAGGAAGTTCCTGCTTATAGAATAATTCCAGCTAATAAATTCAGAAGAAATGGTTGTAAATAATGAATTAGGCAATAATTATCAATGGATACTAAGAGCATTAGGTTAAAGGTTGATGGGAACTTCAAAATGGAGGGTTCAGCCTAACCCCAAATGCATTCCAGCATCATATGAAACAACCAACCTAACTTTCATGTCTTGTGATGTGAGGTACCAAGAAATACAAAGCAACTCCTATCAAGTATTCTTGTCTTGAGAAACAAAAGCACTAAACCTTAATCAAGTGTCTAACTCTAACTATCAATTTACAAGATATATTCAGGGAACAGAGGAACAAATTAAACTTATCACAAAAAAAGGAAGTGGACATGAGACCCAGTGAAGATAGAGCATTTCTACATTCACACTGTTAGTCAGAGCCAAAAACTGATTTCACAAAAATAGAAGCTTTAAAGGCTTTCCAGAGAAATGCTCAGGGAAGCCTATCATGATGATGCATTGATATGACTGATAAATATAACTAAAGATATACCTAAGTAAGACCTATCCAGTCTAAGTGGCTGGCAGGGCTAAGTGTACCTGCAGTAAAATCTACAATATTACTAAGATTATCTTACCAATTACTCAGTATTAATGAGTCTGAAAAATACAAACACTTGTAGCACAGTCTAATGACTCTAATGACCTTACTCTGTCAACTAAAGAGAAGATACAATTCTGTAATTTGGACATGCATATTAAAGAATAAGCACCAGGGGACTCCAACTTCCACAGAGTAGGCAGATAAAAACAAAACACAGCATATCACAGTATATTATAAAAATTTATGGTAAGGAAGCTTGACTCACAAAAAAGCAGCAAATGGAACAAACTAAGGAACCAGAGGCAACTCTATTCTGTGCAGGATGCTGGAAGTCCGCTTCACGCTCATCTTCCGAACATAAAGCGAGAGGTGACCTTACAATCAATTCACACTAAGGTCTATTACGGTCTTCTACTTACCCTTAGTCCTATTAAAGAAAAATTAAAGGTTGAAAGTACCACTCTTTCTCCAGAATAACTTTCGATCTTATTCACAACTTTGGAACATTTTTTTTTCAGTTTCCTTCATTCTTATAATAACTTTCATTCAAGTTCCTAAAGTCTAAAAATATATCCTTCAGGTATATATCTTTCAGGCACGAAGGCTGTCTGGGATGATCCTCCCCATTCCTGTTTCTGAATGTTCGATTTCTCAAAAAGACATTGCTTTTGGGTTGAAGCCTACTCTACATTTTTTCTAGCTCATTCTGAAGATTAAAGGTCTGAGGAGGCTTAAAATGAGAAGAAACAAAGTTTAAAAGTTGCCATGTCCTCAAGGTCTGATCACGGATTTTGTAATTACTTTTTGAACACAACGACCTATCCTGGCTTTCTCTAATGCCTCTTCTCTAAGTCATAAAAAAAAAAAAAAAAAGCCCTTCCACAAATATTTACCATACCCCTATCAATAAGATAATTTTTGAGCACACATCCCTAATATGTGCAGATTTATAAATTATATACGTACATTATGTACATTAAAAGGATGACAAATGTATCATGAAGTGAACATCTAAAATTTGTCTCATTTTTTTTTCACTAAACATTATTAGTATCTTTAGTGAGAGCAATGAGACTGAGTACTTTTATTGAAAACTGTGGGTTACAGATTTTAAAACAGTGATTTGATAGTCTGGGTTTATGCTCAGTTACTTAGATATGTGGTTTTAATGGCTGTGAAAGCTGAAAAAGGTATTTTTACAAGGATACATAGATAGGTCCAAGTGGAAAAGAGTCTCCTTTAAGTCTTTACTTTCTAAACTATGTTATTAAATTTTCAATTCTATCTATCAAATTTCTTTGAATTCAGTCAAGTAATTACCTGCCCTGAGAGCTACATACAGTAACTAAGCACTGGATCTGAAATCAAGATTCTGCTATCTGACCTTGGGAAATTACTATAGTGTCCACATCTGTTAAGTGGGACTTCACATACAGCACCTACCTCTTAAAATCTTGTAAAGAATTAAATGAATGATCTGTACGAAGTACTGAGAACAGTTCTAGCATTTATCACTATATAGTTACTTTGAAACAACCTTTTTAAAGGCATTCATCTATTCTGAAGAATTAGATTAACTGAAATTAAATTTTATAATCTCTCAATCTACATTGGAATTATACTAGCTTGCAAAAGCGTAATGAATGAGAGGCTGATACTGTTAACTCTTGGGTGCTATGGAGCTGAAGTAACACAACCATTTTACATGAGGACAGAGTATGGGTGCCACCAACGTCTGCTTACTAGAAGTTAGTCAAGCTTGATCTACCTTTCATTTTTAGGTGAAAACACACATTACAAATTCTAATATTTTCTTCCCATACCCAATGGATCATCTACATATTCCATTTGGCGATTAATAATTTTAACCACCAGTATTACGTCCATAGTATTACCTTTAAATGCTCTACTGTTTCCCATGATGGAGGTTTGGTGACAGTGCCTGCCCTGTGAATGTGAACATCCCCTTGTAAGGGAAAGCCCTCTTCCCCTGACGACAGTTTCTGTTTAGGTGGTCCTCATTTATAACACT